TTTTTTTGTTTGTTTGTTTTAAAATATATTTTATTGATTTTTTACAGAGAGGAAGGGAGAGAGATAGAGAATTAGAAACATCGATGAGAGAGAAACATCCATCAGCTGCCTCCTGCACACTCCCCACCAGGGATGTGCCCGCAACCAAGGTACATGCCCTTGACCGGAATCGAACCTGGGACCTTTCGGTCCGCAGGCCGATGCTCTATCCACTGAGCCAAACCGGTTTCAGCTGGATGAGTTTTTACACAGGTGAAACAGCTGTGTGACCACCAACCAGATCAAGTGCCAGCACACTTCTGTGGGGACAGAAAAAGGCCCCTCTTTTTCTTTGCTGTGGCCTTCCACATTTATGAGAAACACCTGGTAATTAAACCCCAAGATTGTTGGCTCCTCTGTTCAACCTGTGGGACAAGATAAGCTACTCTAAACCTACATTCTTGCATCCTCCTCCTACCTGCTGTTTCCACAATTCAGGGATAATTCACAAGGAGTCTCTAGTTCAGTGAGGGCGAACCTTTGGAGCTCGGCGTGTCAGCATTTTGAAAAACCCTAACTTAACTCTGGTGCCGTGTCACATATAGAAATTTTTTGATATTTGCAACCATAGTAAAACAAAGACTTGTATTTTTGATATTTATTTTATATATTTAAATGCCATTTAACAAAGAAAAATCAACCAAAAAAATGAGTTTGCGTGTCACCTCTGACACGCGTGTCATAGGTTTGCCATCACTGCTCTAGTTAGTAGAAAGCTCTCAACCCTCCTTCCCTTTCAGAGAAGCCTCTTTTGAACTCTATAACGTTTGCTCAAAGCATGATAAGTCGCCTCCTTGGCATATCTGATGGACTGTCTCCTGGAAAACAAACAAACTAACTTTTTAAGACCACCCCCCTGGAATCTGCTCAACTTCAACACAATCTCCCTCCCTCCCTCTCCCCCTGCTTGTTGCTCAGCAACAGCAATTGCTTGCTCTTTAAAAGCAGAAGCCACTCTTTGTTCCCTGCCCTGTATTGACTAGCAATAGCTGGCCCTCCCTCTCCTCCCTTGGAAAGTGAAATAAATGTCCTCACTGCATCTGTTCCCTTAGTGTGAATTCTCTCATAGCTCGAATCATCAGCCAAACCTAACAATTTTCAGTT